TAAAATCAAGCTGTTTTACTTAGGAACATTCTTCACTTAATAATCTGTTTTAATGATGTGTAAATCTTTTAACTGTTTTAAAATTTTGATATTTAACTTGATGTAGTTATTTGTTCACTGATGATGATTATAGAATTAAAGAAATAATTATGTGTGCTTGAGCACTCAAATGTTTCTAATTCTAGATGTCCTACTTATGATATACTGAAATTGTCTTATCTCAGTCTGCTGTATTTACTGATATGAAATTGTTCTTTTGAAATTTTATTTTTTCAGTTTAGTTTTTTTTTTCTACTTTGGTTGTAACAAATTCAGATTTCTTAATTGCTTTCTGCTGTTGCTGGGGTTACTTTTTTTTTTTTAATTTTTCCTGTTTACTTAATTTGAATGATCTTATTCTAAAAAGTCATTTTTTCAGATATCCTATTGAGAATTTGGTTTCCACAAATACTCAACTTTCTTTTTTTAATCATAAAGTTTTTTGGAAATTTATACATAATAGATGTACATACTTTCAGGGTACGTATGATATTTTGATAGCTTCATATGATATGTAAAGATTGAATCAGGATTGGGATATCCATCACCTCCAAATACTAAATTTACTAATTTTTCTCTTGGAAATTTTGAACCGTATACACAACAATTGCTGTAAGCTTATATACAACATATATTTACTTCTCTAAAAAAAGCTGAATTATTATGTTCTCATTTTAGCAAAAATTTAATCCTAGCTAAAATCTGAATTTTAAATTGCAGTGAATTTGAAGCATATAGTCCTCCTCTTTTGTCCCCTGCCCCCACAGTGATGATGATAAGTAAAAGTATATTTATTGCCTGTTCAGCATTTTAGAAACTTTGATTAAGAGATGTACTGATTGGGCCGGGCATGGTGGCTCACGCCTGTAATCCCAGCACTTTGGAGGCCGAGGAGGGCGGATCACCTGAGGTCAGGAGTTCGAGATCAGCCTGACCAACATGGAGAAACCCCATCTCTAATGAAAATACAAAATTAGCCAGGTGTGGTGATGCATGCCTGTAATCCCAGCTACTCGGGAGGCTGAGGCAGGAGAATCACTTGAACCCAGGAGGCGGAGGTTGCAGTGAGCCAAGATCGCGCCACTGCACTCCAGCCTGGGCAGTGAGCGAAACTCCATCTCAAAAAAAAAGAAAACAAACAAAGGAAAAAAAAAAAAGATGTACTGATCATGAAAGGTAATAGATGATTGTAGATATTGTAAATAATATCTACCTTTATAGGCTGTCAGTATCATAGTTTCTTCCCAAAATAAGCATTTTGAATATACATAAAATGTTGTTTGTTAGGCATTTTCTCTGAGGATATTGGCCTTTTCCCCATAATACTGAATTCAGAATTCTAGAAAATGAAATATAACTAACAAGTACACCATAGGCACAATTTGGAGTATCTATCTTAATTTTTAAGGTTCTAGTTAATGTTAAAACTGAGTCAAAAGCAAGTTAGAGATTGTACCCCCCCCACCCCGGGGTTACATGTTTTATGTTTTTGTAAGTTTTACAATGGTTAATACCATTGTCTCCAAATATATTTTTACTGAATAAATGAGTGCATTAGAGGAAAACATGTTTTAGATCAGATCAGTAATTTGGGGATTTTTTTTCCCCCAACCACAGGTGGGTTGAAATGACTCGTTTTACTTGAAGTGAAAACTTAACATATGTTGAGTTTTCTGCCTTATAAAACTTTCTTTCAAATCTCTGGAATTCTCTGGTGGCTTATGAAGCTTTCTTTCCAACTTTGATGATAAAACAATTTTGCTCTGGGTAAAGAAATTTAAGTATTATAAGTTACTTGTAATATGAATATTACATCCTCTATACTATATTTTCCTAGTAGAAGTGCCTCCAGATGTTTGATCTATTTTGTCACTTCAGATAGATGCACTATATTACTATATTTTCTAAATTTGTTTTTAATATAGAATATTTTCCTAGTAGAAGTGCCTCCAGATGTTTGATGTATTCTGTCACTTCAGATAGATGCACTATATTACTATATTTTCTAAATTTGTTTTTAAAGAGAAGTTGATTTTAAGAAAAAAAATCCCCTCCTTCTAAATACCTTCCCTGCCGTCCCCCACTTCTTGATCTTCCTGCTCCTTTGATCTTGACTAATTTTCGTTATTGGTTAATTTACTATTTATGCCACTAAAATTCTATTCTGTCAGTATTCTCTGCATGTACATAGACTGTTCCTGGATAGAAACTCCATTCACTAAAGAAATAAATTTGAGTTCTTACCCTGAGTCAGGCACTCTGCCTGGTGCCAAGGATACAGAGGAGAATAGGACAGCTAAGGTTCCTTTAGTTATCGAGGCTGCATCTCACTCCAGGGACAACTTTTCAGTACTCTTATGAGGTGGAGAGTAAAGAGCAGATGATGTTAAATTAGAAGCATGTGATACTAACAATGAATATGAAAGACTAACAGTGTTATTGATTCTTCTGCATCTGTTGTAGTTTCTTGATTTTTCTGTTTGTGTCTTAATAGGACTTGGCTTTGGAATACTATGTATTAGGAGAATCTTTTGAGACCTCTGCTCCTTGGGACAGGTAAAATACAATAAAATGCCTGTTATTATTCAAATATGCGATATGAATTGCTTGAAGTAATGTTTCTTTGTGTGTGAATATGTAAGTGTAAAACATTTTATGAAGAAACATTGAGACAAGGCAGCTACTTTTATTTAAATTAATGTATTCATCAGAATGCAATATTTTCAAGTGTTTTACTGGGTGGAGGGAGTTGAAGAAAATTTGTGATCCAAAGAACGAAGGTATTGTTGAAGTTTACATTTTGAAGAATGTTATTGAATGCTCTGTGTTACTAGGTTATACCTAGCTTTGACTTAAATTCTTAAGTGATTAATATTGCTTAAGTATTCTCAAAAAACTCCTCCCAAAGTACAAAACTAGTTAACTGTCCTTCATAATATTATTTAGTTTTTGATATTTGTATGTGTAAAAATGGGAATTTAAGTGATTTATAAAGGAAATTTAGTTCAGGAAATTACGTACAATTTCTATTTTTAAATTTAAGCAAAATGTTGATACTGGAGCATATTTTAGGAAATGACCCAAATAAGATAAATGGAAATAGATTTTAGAAGGGTTTCTTTACTGGAAATACATACATACAGTATTGGTTAGTGAATTAATAAAAACTGATTAGGGAATGTGAAATGGTTTATTAATAGACCTGCGAGTTTTATTATAACTCACTCAGTAATAAAAAAAAATTCTCAAAGAGATTGTCTATACAATCCCTTATTCAGAATGCTTGGGACCAGAAGTGTTTGAGATTTCAGGATATTTGTATTATATATTTACCAGTTGAGCATTCCATCCCTGGAAATTTCACTAGAAATCACTGGAGCATTTCTTTTGATCATCATGTTGGTATTCAAAAACTTTAGGATTTGGGAGCATTTCACATTTTGGATTTTGCAGGATATTCAACTTGTATATTTTTATTTGTTTCTAGCATACTGATATTTTACTTTTCTTTATAAAACTGATAAAACACTTTAAATCTGCAATGAAGTGTATAGGACATAACAAATCCCTGTGAATCTACTTCTTAGGTTCCATATCTTAATATTTTGGTTTCTTCCAATCTCTCTTTTTTCCGCCAGAAAACTTTTTACTTTTCTACATGCAGTCACTATCTACTGAGTTAGTACATTGGTGTTCATATTCCATGCGTTGTTAGCTAGTAACCCCGTTTATATTATACTATCACTCTGTCATTCACAATTTTTTTTTTTAATCAGCTTTCTCAGGTTGAAATGTTAGTCACAAATGTTGATGCTAAATTTTAACAAGGGGAATAAATCCTTTGAATAAAAAAAATATCAAGTCATTAGCCTTTGAGTAGTAGAAATAGTTTGGCAGCTATTCATAGTGGTCTCAAAGACCTTTTTTAAAAAATTAATTTATTAATTTTTTTAGTATGAAATTCGTTTTTATTTTTAACTAAAAATAAATGCTTAACATTTTTCCAAAATCAAAACTAAAGACAAACACTTAGAAAAAAGGGTGGAAACATATTTTTCCTTCCCTGGGGAAACCAGTAAGGCAGACGTTCTAATGGAGCTTGGTTTTTTCCACAGGACTAGTTTACGCAAACAGAATCTTTCTCCAGCCCTTTCTCTATGTCAGTTCTATCTACCTGGCAGGAAAAACCAAAAGAAACCCCGAAACAACCTGTCCCTCCAAATACAACACTATACAAGGGACTTGAAAAGTTGAGGGAAAGCCTTTTAATGCATCTAAGACCATTTTAGTGTTTAATTCCTCTCCTTGGGTATCTTAGCCAGTTTGGCTTGCTAAACAGAGCACCTTAGACTGGGTAGCTTGAATGTTCTTAGACAAGAAACAATTATTTCTTACAGTTCTGGAGGTTTGGAGTCTGAGATCAGGATGTTAACATGGTTGGGGTTTTGTTGAAGGCCTTCTTCCTGGTTTTATAGATGGCCATCTTCTTAATATCTTCACCTGGAGAAAAGCAGAGAGAGAGAGAAAACAAGCCCTCTCATATCTTTTTATAAAGCACTAATCCCATTCATGCAGCTCCACCTAACCTAATGACCACCCAAAGCCCTCACCTTCTAATACCATCTAACTGGGGCTTTGGATTTCAATATATGAATTTTGAGAGGGACGCAAACATTCAGTCCATAGCACTGGGACAGTGAGGGAGTGCAATGCTACCTCTTTTTTTTTTTTTTTTTTTTTGAGATGGAGTCTCGCTCTGTCGCCCAGGCTGGCGTGCAGTGGCCGGATCTCAGCTCACTGCAAGCTCTGCCTCCCGGGTTTACGCCATTCTCCTGGCTCAGCCTCCCGAGTAGCTGGGACTACAGGCACCCGCCACCTCGCCCGGCTAGTTTTTTGTATTTTTTAGTAGAGATGGGGTTTCACCAGGTTAGCCAGGATGGTCTCGATCTCCTGACCTCGTGATCCGCCCGTCTCGGCCTCCCAAAGTGCTGGGATTACAGGCTTGAGCCACCGCGCCCGGCCGCAATGCTACCTCTTAAGAGTTAATGAATTTCCTTGTCATCAGTTAGTACTGATGATTGACATCTTGTTTTTTTATTCTTCCAACTGTGGAAGCTAATAGTGTGCAATTTTTTTTATTTCTCTTTATTCTTTATATATACTTGCATATTTATTTAATTGACACACTGATAATTTCTGTTTTATGCAGTTACACATTTGTTTACCTTTAAAACAATTTCTTCAGCTTGTTTTAATAAATAATATTAATAGAAGGCAACTACATTTTTATGTAAAATTTACTTGTTGACAACCATTTAGCAATTTTCTTTTTCTTTCAAACCTTTAGCTAGAGGCCATGTTTGCAATAGCCCATGGGATCAGGGTCTTTAACTTTCACACATTATTAGATTATTGGCTTTTTCATATATAGTCCACTTAAGGGATTATTGGTCATACTAGTTTTTGTGTATTCCTAAGTGTCCCATCCTGTTGTGTTCCATCCCATCCCTACCACAATGTCCGCACCTATTAGGTTCTCAATGAATTTCTTCATAGATTCTTATGAATGAGCTTGGGAATAATTTGAGATTACAGTCTATGAAAATAGGTATCTTAAGGGTTGGAGATTTCTAAAAAAATGTTTGTTTGTTTTTTTGAGATGGGGTCTCCCTCTGTCACCCAGGCCAGAGTGCAGTGACACTATCACGGCTCACTGCAGCCTTAACTACCTGGGCTCAAGCAATTCTCCCATCTTGGCCTCCTAGCTAGCTAGGATCCCAGGTACACATCACCGTGCCTGGCTAACTTGTTTTGTTTGTAGAGATGAGGTCTCATTTGTTGCCTAGGCTGGTCTTGAACCACAAAAGGTAGCAAAGTGTATTGAATAATAATATCTAGAGGATGTAGATATAATAATAATAGGTATAATAATAATAATATCTACATCTAGAGGATGTAGATATTATTCCAATGATATAAAAAAGCCCCAGGGAAGTTTTTTTCCGGGATGAAATGGTCAAGTGTTAAATTTGCTAATAAGTTAGAATTTGAAAGTATGCAGTTATGTTTCTGTCCTATAAAAGGATTGATCCAAGTGGACTGTGTTTGCCTTTGATCAAGTTCTGTAAGCGAACACTTTCAGAAACCTTTCCCTAAAAATTATTTACTGGAAGTGTCCCACTGCGGGTTATAACTGTTCAGTCCAGTCCTTTCTCCATCTTCTTTTCTTTATTCATCTATCAATGAGGGTTTAGATATAAGGAGCTCTTAATATTTTCCTGTTTACTGTTGTATTTGAGATGATTGGATACATTTAAGTGCATTTAAACTGAAATGCAGTTCACACAGTGGCATAACTTGCAAAGGACTGTTACAGCAGATGATTGTATTCTTAGTTTTTTTTAGACTACTTAGCTGTAGCACTTAAATTTCATTTTGTAGAGCCAACATAAAGAACTTATTCCAAAAAAAACAGAACTTACTACTTTTATAAATTTTGTAATATTCGTTAACTCTTATAAATGTTAAAGCTTAATAGATTTTATTTATATTTAAAGATTTGTTTTATAAGGTATATATTCAAAATAAAGACATATTAAATATCGGTCATCTAAATGTTTTATGAGATATTTTTTCAAACGTGCATCCTTGCCATTCTATACCTCTATGCATAAGTGATGCATAGATAACATTGATAAATCATGTATACCTGCAACTCTCATAAATTAAAGAATTTAACTTAAGAACATTGTTTTATAAAATTAGAATTTATAAAATTTGCAGATTCTATATTCATAAAAATAAAAAATTTGACATGCTAAGAAGACACTAAAGCCCTTTTTGTGTTTATATTTTAATCATATACTGTTTGTTCTTATTGGCAATATGGATAACTTTATTTTAAAAAGTATGATCTGTTTAAATGCTACTTTTTTATCAAATTGGTTCTCATACAGTCAAGTCTGTGTCGTGAGACTAGAGATAAGCCAACCTTTTGAGTTTTTCTGGTATTTCAGGTCTCATGATGCTAAACAAATCAAGGTTTAAGACACAGAATCAGTGTCATTATGTGGCCAGGATATTTATTGGGGAATAAAATGGGACTTTTAATAACAAATAGTCCAGCATAGCACATTAATACTTTACACAGTTTGTATTCAATAGATCTTTCACAGTTTGTCTTCAATAGATCTGTGTCAAATTGGATTTCAGTTTGAGAATAAACTATCGAACATTTGATATAACATCATGATTATAATTTCCTTTGAAAGACTGCCTTGCTCTGTTGCCCAGGCTGGAGTGCAGTAGTGTGATGTTGGCTCACTGCAACCTCAACCTCCCAGGCTCAAGCAGTCCTCCTGCCTCAGCCTCCCAAGTAGCTGGTACTACAGGCATGTGCCACTTTGCCCAACTAAGTTTTTTGATTTTTAGTAGAGACAAGGTCTCACTATATTGCCTAGGCTAGTAATATCATGATTATTAATTGAATTATTATTATTAGTAGTAGTAGTAGTATTATTTTATTTGAGACAGAGTCTTATTCTGTTACCCAGACTGGAGTGCAGTGGCACAACCATGGCTCACTGTAGTCCTGCCCTCCTGGGCTCCAGTGATTCTCCCACCTCAGCCTCCTGACTAGCTGGGACTACAGGTGTGTGCCACCATGCCTGGGTAATTTGTAAATATTTTGTAGAGATAGGATCTCACTGTTGCCCAGGCCAGTCTCAAACTCCTGGGCTCAAGCAGTCCTTCGGCCTCAGCTTCCCAAAGTGCTGGGATAGCAGTTCTGAGCCACTGTACCCAGCCTGAGTTATTTCTAAATTAAGGAAAACTTCTTAGACATGGGTAAAGATTGGTATTCATATAACCTAGAATTGAATTTTCATTAACATCTTCTTTATAGCTTTTTTTAAAGCTCTTAAAATCTTATAATTAAATTGATTTTGATGTCAGGCTTTCCTAAATGTAGGAAACTGCATTCAGAAGACTTGAGTATGTTCTTGTGACTTTCTGTTTTCCTTAAGTCAAAAAAAGAAAAAACTTTCCTCTTTTTAAAGTTAGGAATGGAGGGCTCAAGTTGAGGGATCAGGGCTCTTTTCCATTCTTGAAAGAACAACTAAGAAAGCTTTAGCTAAGAAAATGTCAGACTTGAATGATGCCAGATTAACCAATATTTATTAGCATTTGTGTAGTTTTCACTTGAAAACTTAATATTGTATTCATTTATCTTTTTTTAGAGTGGTAGATCTCTGTAGAAATGTAAAAGAAAGAATAACAAGGGAATGCAAAGAGAAGGGTGTACAGTTTGCTCCTTTTTCTACATGCAGGTAAGTTTTAAAAATTGTTCTTATATTTCGTATTCTGAAAAAAAAAATGTTTTGTTTTGTTTTTTAATCAGTGGGGGAAATATAATTTTCCAGCTGAGAAAAAGCTTCAGTCTGTTACATTTGGCCAGCTTTCCTAACATTCACTTACCACCTTGTTAGGATTGTGCCACTGGAATTTTACAGCAGTCCTGAGCCTTTTAGGAGTAGGATACCCTTCTGTGAGTAAGCATTCCCCGCCATCTGGATGGCATGGCAGTGAAGAGCCAGGTGTCTGGACTCCTGGAAAAAGAAGAGGACTACTCTACTCACTGAAACTATAAATTATATAGTCAAGAAATTATAAATTATATACATACTCAACATGATGCTGAAGAGTGAAGGCAGTGTTTTGTTGTTTACTGGTAATTTAATCTCTTCAAACTCTAATATTATCAGTAAAATAGTGGTAATGCCATTTCTCGATGGGACTGTTGTGAAAATGAAATGAGAAAGCATATGAAAAAACTGTTAGGTTCTGAAGAGCTATATAAATGCTGTAGTATTGTTGTGACATAATTACATTAAGCTTGAGGTAGATAATCCATGCTAGTATTAGTAAGGAAAATTAGTATATTTGCCTTTCCTTTCCAATGACAAGTCCTCATTAAGGCATTCAATTATTAAGCTTACTTGCTCCTTGTAGCATGATAATTTGCATATATTTGTTTTCCAAGACTAGAAATATTTCTGTATTCTTTAAACTGCTAATTTTGTGTGTGTGTGTGTTTTTGTTTTTGTCTTTTCTTTGTCTTTTCCATTGTCTTATCTTGTACTTTCCTAGTACTAGTGTTGTGTTTCTTAGTTTTCCTTATTGTTCCCATTGGGAAGAGATACCCTTTAGAATTTGCTAAATTGTGCTTCTGCACGGTAAGAAAGTAAAATTCTAACATGAGATCTAAGGAAAGCATCTTCCGTACACCTTAAATGTTCATTTCAATCAAACGGATCTCCTTAAAGTAGTCGTTTCTGCTTCTGTGTGGGAGAGACTGTCCAGGTTTAACAAGCCTTGCAGAAAGTACCTAGTCATCTGTGTATTAACATATTTTAAACAGGTACACTGAGGATAGGATCAGAGATTATAAAAGCTGAAGAAGTAGATTTTAGAGATTATTTGCTGGGCATTCGAGATATCTGAAGGAAGGGCAAAGAGAGGTCTTGTTCTCTGTAGTAAAAAGCTTACAATGGGATTAAGCTAATGTTGACATAGTGGGTGTAAGAATGTCATGTTACTTTTAGTTTATTTTAAATTTTGGGGTATCTTTAACAATGCACCTTTTATCTTAAAGTCCTTAAAATCTAAGAAAAAAATTTTTATGTTTGTATTATCAACTCAAACTGATGCTTCATTTTTCTCTTGATAGTCCAGTCTTTTAGCAGACAGTCAGCTCTCTTTTATTGTTATCCTGAAAACAAATCAGACATAATCATCCAAAAGCTATTTGTTACCATTAGATTTTGAAACATTTTAGGTAATCAAATCTATTCTTGTGTAGTTGAGAAATTTTTATTCCTTTGTTTTGTCAAATGGTAACTTAATAGATTTTACCCTTCCCCCTTCTTCCTTCTGTCCCCAGTTCCTGTTCAACATCTCTTAAGAACCCCACCCCTGCTGTAACATTATGAAACTATTGTGATAAACCGCTACCTATGGAAAATGATTAGGAAGTAAAATATTCTGCCTTAGGGCACATTCTGTAATTACACTTAAATCTAGGTTCTTCAGAATGTATTCATAAGGCCTAAGAATATTCATTCTGTATTGTTGATCAGTAGAATTAGTTTATTTAGACTGAATTGGCCATATGTCATTTTTATTAAGTAGCTGTGTTTTAAGAATGGTTTTCCTGAGAATGATGGTTTAGCAAACTATGGCAAGGACAGAAAACCAAACACCGCATGTTCTCACTCATAGGTGGGAACTGAACAATGAGATCACTTGGACTCGGGAAGGGGAACACCACACACCGGGGCCTATCACGGGGAGGAGGGAGGGGGGAGGGATTGCATTGGGAGTTATACCTGATGTAAATGACGAGTTGAGGGGTGCTGACGAGTTGATGAGTGCAGCACGCCAACGTGGCACAAGTATACATATGTAACAAACCTGCATGTTATCCACATGTACCCTAGAACTTAAAGTACAATAGTAAAAAAAAAATAAAAAAAAAAAGAATGGTTTTCCTATAAAAGCTGATATGTTTGGTTTCTGTGACCATCTTATAAAACCAGTTAGAATATGCAAAGCCTAGTTACTTGAATGGCTTTGGTAAATAAGACTTTTGTAGTTCTTATGGCTCATACTTGATTAAACTAACATTTAATTGGAATTTGATTTCAGTTTAGATTGATTTGACATGCGTAGTAGTGGCTAAGGAGATTATTCTATGTTGAATATGTGAGATGTATTTTTTAAACCAGTTTTTTATCAGGTGCTATGCTTGCTACCTGGGTGATAGGATCCATACTCCAAACCTCAGCATCACGCAATATTCCTAGGTAACAAACATGCACATAGACCCCCTATATCTAAAATCAAAGTTGAAATAACATTTTACAAAGCTGTTCCAAAGTTATTTAAAAATAATTATGGATCTATTTAAAATCAAGGATCCTAAGAAAAATAACTTAGGTGTAGGGTACATTTATTGAGTTCATTTATTTCATTTTTGTCCATTAAAATGTACTTTGTACATTGGAATAGAAATTCCAGTCCAAACTTTTCTGAAGAAGTTATATGGGAAGTAATTGCTAGTCATTGAGTCTAATACAAATAAAGTACTCCAAAAAGTATAGAGCCCCAAAATTTTTTTTAATTAAAGAATATTGTAGTGACTTTGACAACCACACTATTACTTGTCCAGATGATTTTGGAAGAGGTTAGTGTTTAAGTGTCTTAAATGATAGAGTTGGTCTGTTGTAAAAGGTGTTAGATCTAAGTCACTTTCTGAAATGGACCCAAATTAAGGTGTTCCAAAAGGTATTTTTCATTATTTGGACTTGTTTGAGATACTAATCAATCAGGCCCATCAAGCTTTGTTATGACTTCAGTAATCTGTTCATCTACTGAAAACTGAACTGTGTAATATATAGATCCTGGATATGTTGA